ACGGATAAACTGTTACTTAAACGGATGTCAATGCGGAGCAGATTATAAACGGATCGGTGTATGATTACAAAATTCGTATCCGTATAACAATCCAAAACCCTTAATAAGATATAAACGGATACGGATGGAAACGGTAATCGAATTTTCGGTTATCCATTTATACCCCTATTCTTTTCTTTTTTTGGTCCAAACTTTTCCAGTTCAATATATTTGGGCCCAATTCAAAAAAGACCCTTTTATTCTTGGTCTTTAGTAGCATCTCTAAGATTTTCCAGTTGCTCACTTGCTCTTCTTCTTTTCACCTGTTCTTCGCAGAACGTCACTATCGTGACTTCTCTTTGCTAGTCGCAGCTTGATAAGTGAGGAATTCTGAATGTCGCACGACTCTGACCTGGGAACACTGCTACTCTACAACAGGCCGAGTCTGCGACTTCTGCCCTCCTTTTTATCAACTTTATTTTTAATTAACTTTTGAGTTTTGCTTGAGTTGCTAGTTTGGACTTTTTATCAGCTATAGTTCGAATGAACTTTTGTTTTAATACTAGCATCTTTGTGTGTGTTGGATTGAATATATGGTTGTGTTTTTAGTTTTTACTTTGAACATAAATATTTAGATTTTAGATCAATGACTCTATTACTATTTTTTTATTGAATTTATTTCATACATTGGTGAATTTAGTTAACTGGTTGTGTGACGTGTGTCCTGTGGTGATGCCATATTTGTGCCATCACCCTGGGAAACTAGGTCATCGCCATGATTGTTGCCATGCGTCATGACAACTATGATCACATCCCATCTTATCATTTATTAAAAACTCCCTAATGCGGTTAACAGTTTGAACTTACTTTTCTCCAAATTTCTTCAAATTTAGTATGCTACTCCTAAAAGCTAAGTTTTGATTAGTTGTTTTACTCCCTCCGTACGGGATTAATCTTCCAAAGTTGATTCGCCTTGCATTTTTATGCAAGTTAAAAATTTCATTGATTTTACTAAATTTACCCTGCCTAATCCCTTTAGTCATTTTCTGTCATCTCTTAGTCTTTCTCTGTCGTCCATAGGTTCCTGGCTGCACAAGTGTCGTCCCTGGGTTGCCGCTTATTCTACCAGCCCCTCCTGCCAGTAGACGATAAATGGTTCCTTCTACAACATCTGTCATCAGCTATATACAAAAACAACTAAAACCAGTAAGGAACCGGAAATGCAGGTCAAAACGACCAAGTGAGGTGGTAGATCTGTTCAACCTCGAACAGAAGGGACTTGACGGTGTCATTTCATATGAACTTGAATCTTGGTTTCATCACAGCGATGAAATTGAAGGAAGAAGAATAAGAAATAAGTAGTGAGATAATTAGATCTAGGGTTGGTTGGGTGGGAAGAAGAAGAAATGAATGAAGGTTAGATATGATGTCAGCAGATGGAAGAAGAAGAGTATGAGTTGGATGAGGAGTAAATTGGGTTGATGGTGGCAAAACCGCAAAAGGAAGAAGAAAAATTCGATGCATTGGAAGAGCTTGGTTGGATGGTGAACAAATGAAGACAAAAAAGTTAGAGGCAGACTTCAAATTAGGTTAGATAGACTGATAGAGAGATTAAATTGGGTTGGATGAGAAATTAAGGGTATTTCTATTTAAAAGCTTGCCAAATAAGGAAATGGAAAGTTAATTTTGGGACGGTCCAAAAAGGAAAGTGGGAAGTTATTTTCCGGACGGAGGGAGTATAAAATAGGGTTTTGTATTGATTGGAGCGGAGGGAGTAGTACCATAATGTGTTATATTTTTGTACTTCTAGATGAGACACCATGTTTTTGCATTTAGATGCTTACTCTCTTGGTCTATTGCTTATGTAACAAACTGCATGCTGTTTTCTGAACAGGCTGATATCTGTCAATTGGGAATGGACCAGAGAAAGGTGAATGTTCTTGCCAGAGAATATGCCGAAGATATAAAGAGGAAAAACAAGCCTATCATATTGTCTCATCGTATGCTTCCAGTGCATTTTATTTTAATGTTCAAATTTGATTTGAATATTTGATACGGAGTAATTATGAAATTTTGTGCGAGCTTTATTTTGGGCCGCCAAACTTAATTTGATAAATGAGAAATTTCTTTCCAAGCTTTATTTTGTGCCCTAACTGGTAATCTGATATGTAGATATGCTGCCTGGCTTGCAAGAGGGTCAGGAGAAGATGTCCAAGACAGATGCATCATCCTCCATTTTTATGGAAGATGACGAGGTAGTGCATAGTTGATACCCTTGGTTTTCTATCAGCACACTTGATGACATTTCATAACACACATCTGACTTTTATTTTGATGGTATAGGCAGAGGTGAATCAGAAAATAAAGAAGGCATTCTGCCCACCCAAGGTGGTAGAGAAAAATCCTTGTCTGGAGTACCTCAATTACATAATATTTCCCTGGTTTAATGAGTTTACGGTGGAGCGAAGTCAAGAGAATGGCGGTAACAAGTAAGACATGGTTTTTTCTTTCTACTGACTGCAATTTATGTTTTAACATGATTTTTATTACTCGTAATATTTTCATGCTTGCTGTTATGTTTCGAACTTTATGATGAGAAGTGTGATCATCCACCCATTTTGCTCCACTTTAAATGCGTAATTGTTTGTGTGTATAGGACTTTCATTAGTTTTGAGGAACTTGTTGCTGACTATGAATGTGGTGGATTGCACCCTGCTGACCTTAAACCCGCTCTATCGAAAGCACTGAACAAGATCCTACAGGTATTACTCAATTATTTTTTCCTCATAGGGTTTCTAAACATTTTCAGTCCCTTTTGAAATGTTGGATGCACAGTAGGAGGATGTAATCTAAGTTGGGTGCCTTTTAAGAAATAGTAGTTTTTTTTACTATGAATTTTAGGTCTTGGGTTTTATAATGCCTATAGAGGAACATATGGATTAAGGTAGGATTAAGGACCCATAGACCCACTTGTGGGACTTCATTGGATAGGTTGTTTTTTCTAACTCATCTTCCATGTGCTATCTATCAGCCTGTACGTGATCATTTCAAGAACGATGCCAATGCAAAGGACCTTCTTAAGAGGGTAAAGGTATGCATCCTCAACTCACTGGGTCAAGTCTTTTATTCTAACTTGGAATGGTTGAACTCTTAGCTAAGTAATTTCCTTCTTTTCTTTTTCAGAGTTACAAGGTTACCAGGTAATGCAAATTGGGAAGAAAACGTGTCCTCGAACCTTTCACTTAGAGTTGGAAACTGAATATTTGTTGTTGGATTATTTGTTCTTTTGATTTTCATTTATTTTGGATTGCCCTTAGTACACAAGTTAAGCATTACAAATTAGACCTATTTATGAACAACTGTCTTTCGACTAGACATTAAATGTTAAATATGGGTACCTTATATCTTTTGTAGCATGAACAATGTGTTTGGTGCGGGTGGGATGCCAAACTGTTCCCAAAATTTCCCAAAAAGCCTACAAAAATGAACCGAAACAAATATCTTCTAAAATATCTTTTATTAAAATATACTCTATAGTTAACTTTTATTAAAATATCTTCTAAAATATATTATCCCTATTTTGACATACATTTATGTATATTTTAAAAATGTCCAAAGACGGTACAAAATCATTATTATCTTTTCATATTTTTAAGTTTTTTGTAAATAGATTTTTGTGAATATACAATTTATATGAAAAAATTTATAAATTTTGTGATATAAAAATTTTAAACATATACTTGTAATAATAATAAAATATAGATAAAGAATCGTAATAAATATATCATCCCAACTAAATGTGTAAGAATATGGATATATTGGAAAATGTTTGAAAATTATAGAAAATGTTGGCGATTAACTCTTTGTATTTGTTTGTTTAAATAATTGATTGAATTTACTATTTTGTCCGGCAAGTTGTATTAGTTGTTAAGGAAAAACTGTTTGGTAAACTTAACAAGTCATAAATAGCTGTTTATACAGAGTATAAGAGAAAGAAAATACGGAACATTATTAGGGGACGAAGGGAGTGTGATTATAACAAATAATGTATGTAGTATTAAATTAGCCATCTTCATCATCGATATATCATTGAATTGAGGAGCAAAGAAAAACTAATTAAGTACCCTTTCAACATTTTTATAGTGTCTAGTATTGGAAATTCGGAGTTAGATATTGCAAAAATCGTAAGGAGTTCGTAGATACTGGAAGATGTTAGAAAATGTTGGCGATTAACTGTTTGTATTCGCTTGTTTAAATGACTAATTGAAATAGTTATTTTGACTGGCAAGTTGTATTAGCTGTTAAGGAAACATTGTTTGGTAAACTTAACAATTCATAAATAACCGTTTGTAGCAAAAATACATTTTTTGACATGCCATCGTGTACGTTAATTAATTTTTTATTTTAGATTAAATTTCAAAATAAACAACAACCTTTGGATAACTTATCATTTCTAACACAATTTTTGTATTTTGTCAATTCAATGCAACAGTTTTACTTTTTTGTTAAATGAAGGTACGTCATCAATATTAGTTGATGGATTAGGGATTTTACCTAATCCAATATTATTTGAACAGTACAAGAAAACCCAATTTTATCTGGCCCAAAATATAAATCAGATAAATTATTCAATACGGAACCAGAGATATATGGACAAAAAAATATATTTAAAGTGATGTAAAAATATTCAATGGAGCCCATATACAAAACATGTGCACATGGAGGTGACATGGCCACCTCAAGGCATTGTTGGGGATGCATGCATGCACTCTCCTTTATAATGGGCATTTATACATCAAGGAAGGGGACGGAAGATGGAGGGGCAAAGTTCATTTCCTATTACTATTCTTCATTCTTCTTCTTTTTTAAGCTTGGAGCTCCATTAATGGCTCCAAGCTCCTACAATGATGTATATGTAAATTCCCCCGAGTCTAATAAAAGTTCCTCCCCTTTGGCATGGCACCGCCTAAAAAGGCCCGTGATTTTCTCCCGATTTGGATTTCCACGTATAAATACTTTCTCTCCACTTTATTTATTTATTTAATTTCCGGATTTCGCTATTCGGTGCGGTGCCGACCTGGTACCGAGTTCGTCGGGTCGACGCCCCGAAAAAACGGTTTACATCACTGGCACCACCCGTGGGACCGGTCACAAAAAACTTTTGTGCTCCGAGTCCGTAATGGAGGAAAAAAGTGAGAGAGAAGGTAAAAATAATAAATGAAAAAGAGGGATGGGGAACAAAAAAAGAAGAGAGAGAGAGATTGGAAGAGGAGAAAAGTCAAACAAATTGAAAATAAAGAAAAAGATACTCCGTTCGTATTGTGCTTCTACACTTCTTGGCTGCCTGTCGAGATCCATTGAAGAAGAGGCTCAAATTTGAGACATCGGTCCGTGAAGAACTGCGGGGATCTTTCCGGCGAGCAGCGAGCAAGCGACAAGGCTGCCGGCAGTACCCTCCACCATGGTCGGTGAGCATCCTCCCAGATCGGCAAGCCCTCTAGCATGCTTCACCTCCGGCGGGACCAAGCAGCGAACCACAACCACTCTAGCATCGATCCAGCGGCGAGCCTTTCCAGCAGCGGTGGCACTCCGATGAGCTCCCACTTCTTCCGGCGAGCAACGGACAGCAGCGGCGGCCCTCCGACGAGCTCCCACTTTCTCCGGCGAGCACCAGCGAGCCACTGGCGAGCCTCTCTTCCTTGAGGCAAGCCGATCCAGCACCCTAGCGAGCCGCTCCCGGTCACCACCGGCGATCCACTCCTTTCGTCGGTCCACCACCAAATCGAGCAAGTCTCCCAAACAAGCCACTACATTAGCGGTCCTCTCCGAAGGTCCTCTCTGCGGTCCTCTCCGGCGGTCCTCTCCGCGGTCCTCTCCAGCAGTGGTCCTCTTTGGCGAGCCACAGACGGCAACAGCGAGCCTCTCCGACGAACTCCCCCTTCCTTCGGCGAGCCACAAGCAGCGGTAGTGAGCTCCCTCCTACGGCGAGCCACGAACAGCGGCAGATCTGGGCAGAGTCTTTCATCTGTAGATCCATCCCACGAGCTCCCACTTCCTCCGGCGAGCCACGAACGGAAGCAAGCGGTCCCCTCCGATGAACTCCCGATCCTCTCCAGCGCACCTCACCTCCGACAGGATCCAGCAGGTGGTCCTCTCTGGCAAGCCACTCCAGCAGCGGTCCTCTTCAGCGAGCCATGGACGGATCTAGCCTCAAGTGGACCGCTCCAGCTTCATGGGTCCCTCAAATGGATGGATATATCCTCAAGTGGACCGCTCCAGCTTCATGGGTCCCTCAAATGGATGGATCTAGCCTCAAGTGGACCGTTCCAACTTCAGAGATCCATCTAATGGACCGCTCTTGCCTATAGAGGACCGCTCCAGCTTCATGGGTCCCTCCAATAGAAAGATCCGGCTTCAAGTGGACTGTTCCAATTTCTAGGAACCATCCAAGGGACAGGGCTAGCCTCAAGAGGTCCATTCCAGCTTCATGGGTCCCAAAAATGGACGGATCTAGCATCAAGTTGACCGTTCCAGCTTCATAGGTCCCTCGAGTGGATGGATCTAGCCTCAAGTGGACCGATCCAACTTCCGGGATCCATCCAGTGGACCGTTCCAACTTCATAGGTCCCTCAAGTGGATGGATCTAGCCTCAAGTGGACCGATCCAACTTTTGGGATCCATCCAGTGGACGGCTCCGGCCTCAAGTGGACCGTTCCAACTTCATAGGTCCCTCAAATGGACAGATCCGGCTTCAAGTGGACCGTTCCAGCTTAATAGGTCGCTCAAATGGACAGATCCGGTCTCAAGTGGACCATTCCAGCTTCAGGGAACCATCCAAGGGACAACGTGTTGGGAAACGAGGCTTGGATAACGCAGCGGAAAACAAAAATTTGTAGTCCAAAACTCGATTCCACCCAAGAACAACTTACGTAAATTACTAGCTATAGTAAGAAATTTACCTTAACGGTGAAAAATGAAGAACAAAGAAACGGTTGGGGATGGTTGTGAGGAGATGAACGTAGCGCCAAACGTATGAAGCCTCCAACGTATCCACACGAACTTGCTCCGGAGTCCTAGAATAAACTTGTGCTAACAAGTTTAATATAGGATAGTAAAACTCTAATAACACTACCTTGGGAGTAATAAATATATAGTAAAAATATTTATCTTATAAATATTTCTTTATAATATTTTGTGTATATTTCTAACCCTTTAGAAAAATAACTTGGAACACAAAATAATATATTTCTCTCCTTTCTCTCTCTATGGCCGAAAATCACACCATTAAAAATGGGGAGGGATACTCACATTTTATAATACAATGCATTAAGGAAATGCTAGGAAATTGCTTAGGCACAAAACCAAATTAGGCTTAATTCATTGTTCCCAACCAACACAACAAGACAAATATACTTTTGTTAATCAAATATTTGATTATAAAATCAAATATATCATTAGGTGGAATATCAAAATATGTTTTGTATTTTTCCCCTTAGAATTTCGGCCATAGCATATTTGTAATATATCATATATTATTTTTACATCAATAATTATCATATAATTAAAATGATGAAAATTATATATATATATATATATATATATATATAT